GTTTCAGCTGTTTAGTTTTTTTCCCCCCATTTTCCTGTGGAGTTGCAATGTAGTGACTGACTTCAAGACCTGATCTGTTGTCACGTTTAGTTTGGCAAAAAATTGCTTTCTAGTGAATGTGAAAACAGCTCTTGAGAAGCAATGTTGTTGTGTTTGGGGCTTTTTCATATTCGTCTTTTGAGTGAAGAAGGTGAATTCTTGCACTTCTCTTTGGTTCTGATGATATCTGCATGAGTCTGTTTACGTAACCTTTCTATTGAGAACCTCAAGGTTATCATCACCTGCTATTCCTTCACTTCACACATGTGCAGCTGTATGTAGTGTATGAAACTTCAAGTGTTGGTTTTGAGTGCTGTGGAACCTTTTCTTCTGGCAGAAGACTCCTCCTGTATCTCCTCTTGGAGACAGCACTGTTGACTTCAGCCTTGGATCATTGCTTTTGTTTCAAGGCAGAGGGAGTACCAAAAGATTTGAAGTATTTTTAAGTTGTGAAAAATGTAAGTAAATTGCAGCCAGAAGTAAATTTTCCACCAGAAGTGAAAAATAAATGCCCTTCCAACACTAACCGTTCTGTGATTCTATGATTCTCAACAGCTTTCAAACCAACGTGTCAGTTTACTGTCACTCTGTGGTGATATAGATTGTAACTGCCCAAAACTGTGTTTCATGCTTGAAGTGATGTCTTGTGGCTCTTCGCTATATGGATCTGTAGCTATGACAGTTGTTTCAAATTTGTCTTCAGCTTTATTGTGCTAGCATCAGACATTTACAGTATTAAGGCTACAATAATATTGGTGGGCTACCATAATATTGGTTTTGTAGTTCTAATTTTGCTATCTATCACGAAAAGCTGCCATGAAAAGGCTACCACCATATTAGAAGTTCTGCAAAATTGAACAAATATAGGGAAATTAATGTTTGTTCCAAGTGGGACAGGTTCTGCTGTAACTTATACGGAAGTAAACAGGATTCATCTTAATCATATGTTCCAATCAAGGCTATGGCCACTGGAGTGGCCTTAGGTAACTTCTTCTGTGGATGCTCTCACCAAGTATAAGCCTAAAGTTATTTTGCACTGTTTTGCTGAAGTATGGATGTATTTGTGTTGACTAATCCTGTTACTAGGAGGAAAGTTGATTCATGCTTCAGGGTACAGCGCTGTTGGGGAACATTGCAGTCATAGTCAAATGTAAAGGGACTACTGGGATTTGTTAGTCATAGAATCATAGAATGATTTGGGTTGGAAGGGACCTTAAAGATCATCCAGTTCCAACCCTCTTGCCACAGGCAGGGATACCTTCCACTAGATGAGGTTGCTCAAAGCCTCATCCAACCTGGCCTTGAACACTTCCAGGGATGGGGCATCTGCAACTCATCTGAGCAACCTGTGCCAGTGTTTCACTACCCTTATTGTAAAAAATTTCTTCCTTATATCTGATTGAAATCTGCCCTCTTTCAGTTTAAAGCCATTGCCCCTTGTCTTACCACTATATACCTTTGTAAAAAGTCCCTCTCCAGCTCCTGTAGGCCCCATTTAAGTGCTGGAAGGCTGCTATGAGATCACCCGGGAGCCTTCTCTTCTCTAGGCTGAGTAACCCCAGCTCTTTCAGCCTGTCTTCATAGGACAGGTGCTCAAGCCCTTGGTGCTTGTTTTTTGTTTACTCTTTTTTTTAGATGTTTATGAATTCACATATGAACTGTATTGTATTCGCATAAGCTTGCTAGCTGTGCTGCTCTTGAGTTAATTTCAAGGCAAATGCAGTCTACAGGAAACTCTACTCATTCCAGTGATGGGAGGATGGGATATTCTTCAGGCAGGATCTCCATCTGTGGTGAATGCTAACTGAAACTACAGAACAGTAGTGCAAAAAAAGCCAAATCCAACCCTATAATCAAGTTGACTGGTAAAGATGCTGTTTCTGATATGCAGTATGATTTGGAGAAGTAGCAATTGTGCTTCTGACAGTTTGACTTAAAAAAACCAAACATAGCGAGTAGTGACAAGATATGCAATATATGAAAACAAAACAATGCATTCTAAATCTCTAAAGGAATTAAATGATAAATTTATATGTGCCTTCTCAAAGAGTAGAGCTAGCAATGACGTTTTAAAGCAAGCTTAGAAAAGAAAAGCCTAAAACCTCCAGTAGCAACACTTCTGCCATCCTGACTGTAGACCTAGAGCAGAGAGAAAGTAGTAGCTATTGCTATCAAAAGTGTATGGCATCATCATTTTTCTCTCTTCCCCTAGAACCTGCATAAGCATGTGATGTGAACACGGAAAAAAATGCACGTTTTTGACTGAAGATAACTTGTATGCCATTAATCACTGTCTAAATAAGATGGCATGAAAAGAAGATTAGAAATCTGATCTGTTTTCTGTGAGTCCGGGTATTCATTGATTAAATTAGAAGATCCATCTGTACCTAAATATAATTGTAGTCAAGAGTTCAGTGGCGGAGGAGGAAGCTGAGTTGTCAGATGGAGTAACAGTATTTTCTGGATATGCAGCTGCCTTGTGCGTCTGCCTCATTTAGTAAAGGCTACTTGAGGAAGGGGGGAATCACTCCAGATGCTGCTCTTGCAGTCCCGGTTTGTGTGTGCTATGTAAATGGCAATATGTTGATGTTACAGAATTTTATACCAAGTTTTGTGTTGCCTTGTGATATCCTCTTAATGCTTTTAGATGTGGAAGATGAAAAGCTGTTTCTAAGCATATGGTTATAGCTTGATTTTTTTTTTTAAAAAAAAAAAAAAACAAGGAGCTTGTGGCTTTTGCTGTTGTATTCATTTAAACTCAGACAGAAGCAGTGTTTTAGGCTGCACCGTACTACAATATTTTGACAGCTTCCGGACTAACCAGGTAGTAAAGACACTATTCCATTGATGCAGGCATGTTTTATGCTGGGAAAGATTGTAAGTGTTCGTGGAAGATCTGGGATTCTTCAAATATTGGATAGCTTGCAAGAACATTTAGTGCAGGCCTCAAAAATGTTGAGATACTCTTATTTACGTATTTGGCGTTCTCCTTTACCTTCCCCCTTTCTTTTATATGAAAAGCCTTCGTTAAGTGAAGTGTTTGAGGACAGAAGTTTCAGTGGTGGACTCTGCAGCAGCTGCTGTTGAAGGTAAAGGAGGTGAGGCACCAGCAAAAGTAGGGTGCTCTGTACCTCCCTTGAAGGATCTGAAGCTGTTCAGACTAGGAATCCAGCTAGTATATTGTATTTGTGACCCTGATGAAATGTCTGCGTTTTCCCGGGCCTAGCCCTTAGGGGGCTGAGGAGGAGGAGGAGATGGCATTGGTAGCTGAATGGTTTCCAAATGCAGGGAGGACGGCACTGTGGTGTGACATCTGACTGATTCGCCTTAGGGTGGCTTTCATTTGAAAGCTGTAGTAAAAATACTCCTTGTTTGTTAACTGTTTAATTGTTTGTTGTTACAGATGATGGGGTAGGAGAAAGGTGGTAGGAGTTGAATTGTACTGGGCTGACATAGCTGTAGGTTTGAAAAAATAACAAAAATGCAAGGAAACAAGGCAGAAGAGTCTTCCTCCCCCACCCCCTTGGAATATCCCTATTTGGCTGTACCCTGCTTTGATTAAAACCATGCATTTTAATGCTTTTGGACAGATCCTTGACAGAGGAACAGCTTCACATGTCTGAATGGCCTTGGCTTTCATTGGAGACCACTGTTCTCTCACTAAGGGGGATGGTCTTGATATAGGCAGGTGAACTGATATTAATCAGGCTTCGATTCCCATTGAAGGTTTTCTTTAAACCATATCTTCATCTGTAAGTATGTGCCTAAATGTCCAGAAAGTGGAAATGAATAGAGGCAGCCAAGTCTGATAGTGGTGATGAATTTTGCAGGTTAAAGAACTGCTTAAAGAAGTTACTGTTAAAGTAATCCCAGAGCGTGTGTATGGAGTGTGTATGTCTTTTTAACATCCAAAATATCTTTTTGACTCAAAAGATGAACTACTTTGCAATTTGCGTCTTGTTTGCACATAGTGTTTCGATGTAGCTGTCTAGTTAAGTTTTTCTCTTGACTGTAGGAATTGTTTTCTGTCATAAAATGCAGAGTAAAGCTGGTGTACATTTACGTTTCTTGGCAGCTGTTCCTTGGAGTAAGAAACTAGATATTACATTATCTTATGAGTATGGTCTAGTCACTTCTTCTACAGAAGCATAGGAAACCCATAATATTGCTTAATTTCTATCCGTCTGAATGTTTTTCTCCAACAGGATCTGTTCTTATCGGAAGCAGTAATGGCCAACTGATGCTAGTATCTCAACAAGCAATAGCACGAGCGCAGAGTCAACCACAAAATAACACAAGCATGAGACCATCTGTACTGACCACCACACCTTCAATCAGAATATGTGCGGTACAGGTAACTTCTTTTGTAGCTTTTAATTTGATGTAGCTGTATGTCATGTAGTTACAACAGGGCTTGCAAATAAGTTATGGAGGTTTAAATCAGCATTTGAATGCTTTCTGCACAGCTGATGGTGTTTGGTTTTGCACATGAACATCACTGTCCTTTGCTTTCTCAGTTTGAAAAAGTGCTAGCTGTTACATATGGTGTAGTTCAAATTAAGGAATTCCTCTCTGATAATGATGTAAAGGGTTTTAAGAAAAAAAAAAATCCTGCCACAAAACCAACCCAAAACCAAAAAATTTACTTGTGGTTACTGTTAGCAACTGCAACCTTGCGATCCTCTGGTGAGATGTTTCTCAGAAGCTGAGTGAAGCTGAGGACCGTTTCTGTGTCCCCAGGATGTTCCTCCTTCCCTGAGCTCTACTGGCTTTTCCCTTCTCTCTCGTAAGGTGGTCAGCACGTGAGCGGGTACCAAAAAAGGAACCTTCTGCATAGGTCTCACCAACATGCTTGTTCTTTAACTGTTTTGTTCTGATTAGGTGTTGTGTCTAAATGTCTCTGACTCTCTTCTTGAGTATTAAACTGGTAGACAAATGGCTTTGAACAGTGTTTAAACTATATGGACTATGTGAATGATGCCTGTATTGTTACTGTAAGACTGGGTGTCTTGGTTTATATCGGACAAGAGCAGGTACGTACCAACTTCAGTGTCTGTTTTGTGATTGACTTATCTGACAACTGTTCTCTGTAGATGTGTAATTATTTTTTATTTTTATTTTTTTAAGAACTCTGGCACCCAGTTACTGAAGAAAGTAGCAGCTACTCCTGTGAAAACATTATCTCAAACAACAAGTGCTGTGGCTTCTACTGTTCAGCCACCTGCTGTAATACAGGTAGGTGGCAAGCTTTATAGGGTGGTGGCATAAGTGACAGAACTGAAGAAAATATGGGTGCATTCTTGTTATTTTTAACTCTAATCTGGTTTTCAGTAAGCTTGGTGACTTTTGCCCTCTCAATAAATTCTTTCCTGAATGTCTTTTTTTAAACGCATGATTTAATTATGCTTCTGCCAGTGCATGTCAGATCATCTTCTCTCACTACAGTAGAAAGCATATGAACGATGGATAAAATAAATACTTCAGAGAGCCATTTCCAGTGATTTCTGTACCCTGTGACAGAGCTCCTTCAAGCTCTACCTGAAGCTATTCTGGGAGATGGAAACTTCATAATGCTCTGTCTTGTTGGAGTTCCCTGATTCCTTAGGGAAGATGTTGTTGAAGGGAAAATGAGCTGTCTGCACCAGTCAAGCTGTTTTTCGTATGTACGGGTTTTTTCCCCCTCATTAAAAGCTGAAGGAAGGTCATAGCTGAAGACCACTGTTCTCTAATTGAGTTTGACAGACAGGTTCCACAGATACGACTGTAAATAGACAGTGGAAATGCCTCATTACTTTTAGGTAGTGTTTTTGTCTTGTTTCCTAGGTCTTATTTCTCTCGTTCCAGAGCAAAATGTTGCAGGACTCTTCGGAAGAGGCTCTTGACACCTGTAGTGTGTGACACTTCGCCTAGATAGAGTTCATACTCTGTTCTTGGGGACGAGAGTTCTGGATAAGCACGAGGGATAAAAAGAAAACTACTTCTTTCTGCAACTAAAATATTCTGTTCTCCTCATCATCTGGAAGAAGTCTGGCTTGTACATATCTTTTGTGAGCAGGAGCTTGGAGGAAACTAGGCTGTAGTGGTTGACCCAAGCACTCAGTAGATGAGCAGGATCAGACATTCAAAAAAACGTGCTGGATCTATGTTCTTGACCTTGAGGGTGTTTGAAGGATTGGGAGATACGTTCACTGACAGCGGTAACTAACAGTCTGACTCACAATTTGTCCTCCTGCTGTTCTTCTGTATCAGCAACTGAAAACTATTCACAGCTCTGTCTGTGATCTTTTTTCTCTTCTTTTTCACTACAGATGGATAATATTGAGGCTAAAGGGGAAAACCAAGAGGCCTCTCTTAATACATTTTCTATTTTGCTTAGAATGGGAAGAGCATATGCTTTGTGTCTAAGAACAGTAACAGGTATTCCTTACCCACTTTTATTTTGGAATACTAGCTTGCAAACCATGTGCTTGTGATCTCTGCATAGAGATCTTTAGGATGTAAAAGCCATAGTAATCTACTATGCTGCCCTTGCGCTGGGGAGAAGAGATGCAGGCAAAGATTTCTTTCATCTGATGAATGAAGCTGCCTGCATCCTCACACTCTCATGTGGATGAACCGTGAGATTCATCATGCTATTAACTTTTCCTTTTTTAACTTACATCTGCCTTTGACTTGTTTCTTCTGTACTTTCTTATTTCAGTTTTGATGTAATCAATTTAACTTGTGTTCTTCTGAGATATTTAAAGAGGTAAACACGGAGTATTTTTTATAATCTGTATTTTTTTCTGTGTAGAAACTTGAACACTTCTAATGAGCCGTAGGGCTGAGTTTAAACAGCAGGAACAATGGCTCTAGGAAAAATTAATAGTGCTGTTTCGTTTGGAGTGGCTTCCTCAGAGCCCCAGTTTTGCAGAGGATTGCAAAGCCGTCTGTACAAGCTCCTTGTACAGTAAAGAGTAAACAAGTGCAATATGGATACATCCTGCCATCACAGGGCCACTTCACTCCTTGCCCTGGGGTGGACAACCGAAGAGTGCTGACAAGGGAATCTGTGCATAAGGTTGCCAGGAACTGTCTGAAGAAAGAAAGGAAGAGCCCTTGGATCTGACTTCCTTAGCAGCAGTTCATTCATCAGTCCTAAAAGAACTTGCTGATGTTAGCCTTGACAGTTTTTTGAGATCACAGGAGAGGAGTGTTGGTGTGGAAGTATGATGTCATCACAGAAAAGTGGGAGACAGTAGAGAAGAAATAATCCTTGGCTTGGTTGTATATCTCCTATCCTGTGCTAAGTACAGCTTGGAACACTACTATCTGCAAACCCTCTCTAGTTACGCCAGGATTATTCTCCTCATCTGCAAAAATATTTCCATTTGTTGCCATTCCTGAATGTTCAAGCTTTGAGGTTAGACAAAATACCTGCACGTTTTTATTTTTTACCTTCTTCCCAGGTGGGATAACGAAGCTGCAAAGTATCTAATTAGCATCATGCTGAGGCACTTTCATTTAGATGCAGAGCACTTCTCTTGAAATTACTTCAAAATATGCAGGATTAATGCCATTTTTTGTGGCAACTGTTTCTCTGTTGCTCAAAGTGAGAATGAGAATTGTCAGTAGTGAAAAAGGTTGAGGGCAGATGACAGAAGTTAATTCCCATATATTCATCTTCTTGGGAAAAGGGTCCAGCAGACTTCCTGTTGTTCCCTCCCTCAGCTGATAAAATGCTGTTCTGGTCTCGATGTGTAAACACGTTGGAATTTGCAAGAGATCAGCTCCCGAGAACCTCATGTTTTCGGCTTTTAAGAGCCCAGGGCATTGCAACTTGACAGATCTGTACTTCTTCCCTTTCCGTCTTCCTCCCGTCCATCTGTTTGTGGGATTCTCGTGCCCAGTTTGCCTCCCTGTGGTCTTAGAGCTGTTGAGCCTCATCCTTGGAAGAGGCAGTGGTGGTGGCAAAGATCCTGCAGAGAGCTATTAAAGTGTTACCAACAGTGGGAGCCTAAGCTGGAAAGCTTTCTGGTAGCTGCCTGCTTCTTTCATGTCAAGCTGGCAGCAGCTTGGGGAGGGGGACCCACCCAGGAAAAAAATAATTTATAAATAAATTACAAAAGTGTCAGTGTTCTGCTTTAGCTTTAAATATTTGTTCATTAATTTTCCCTATCCTGCAAGATATAAAAGCACTTCAATGTTCCATATGATGTATGTCCTACTCTTAGTTTTTGTTTTATCCATGGTAGGGTAGGTCGGACTCTTCTGCTACTGTCTTATCATTAATGCAATTAGCAAGTATTAGTCTGTGATTGCTGGATTCAACTGTGCAAAGTGTGTTAAGAGTCAGTGAAAGCAATTGTCGTGCGGATTGGAACCTGGAATTTGGCCTACAAAACCAGACTTACCCTTTCTCTTGAGAGGTTTGGAGAAAAAATGGTATGCAACTTCAGGTTTCAAATGCTGACCTGAAACTCTTGCTTTTCTGTAACCTGCAGGTTCAATCTGACTTTTTAGGTTTTGAATTGAGAAACTAAAAGTAGCGATTTTTGTAGAGGCAAAGTCTTTTACTCATATTGTATTCTGTTGTATCAGAAGAACTGTGTTGGGTTTTTTGGGTGTGTGGTTTTGTTTTTTGTTTGTTCTTCTTTAAAATCTGAAGTAGAAATACATCCGTTTAGTAGGTTTTCCTTGGGAAGCTACTATTTAGCCTGGTTTGCAAAGGAGAGGCAATTGTGTTCTTATTTTTTTCCTAACCCTTCGTTGCTCTCCTGTTGCTGGAGTTTCTGAATCTGTAGGTAAATTCTAATGAGATTTTTAAAAGAGGCCTTAAAGTAACTGACTTCTGTGAGAGTTTGTGTCTGGACAGAGGAGAGAGAGATCCAGATTGTGGCCCACAAGGAAAAGCCTGAAAGAACTTATTAGGTGCATTTGCCCAGCTGGCTGCTTCTGCTGGCACATACATCCTCCCAAAGCGGACACGATATCTTTTGCCTACTGCATGTGTGATAGGAACAGTAAGGGATATTGCAATTGGGAGAGGAGCTGCCAGAGAAGAAAGGAAGATAAAGAATCTTTGTCTGAGGACGTACTTGTCTTCAGAGTAGTAGCACCTGGCCTAGCATTGCCCAAAATTCATTAGTCTTAGGCTGTAGGAGCCTGGCAAACTTAATCTATTGGTTTCTTCAAGACTTTTACCTTTGTCTCTTCACTTGAAGTTGCAGGGAGTGCTTCAGTCTGGGTGAGCCTTTGTCATTTCTTCCCTGTGCCCTTGATTTAAAAACAGAATTATGGCTGTGGGGTTTCTGTCACTTACTTTATTAAATACAGCCTCTCAAAGCGAATGAATCCAAACTTTAAAAACAAAGGTAAAAGCCGTCTATTTACATTTTAAATAGTAATGTGGAGTGAGAGTATTACCTTACATGCTAACTGAATATGGTATGTTTGTCACGTTAGTCTTTGGTCAAAAAGTGTTAATTTTTCTTTTCAGCCAGCAGCTGCAACAGCTAGTGTTACTACTGTTACTGCTGTAAAGCCTTCGAGTACTGGAACACCTGTAAAACTTCCAGTTACAGGCCCACCTGCACAAGCTATCTCCCAAAAGGCAGTCTCTGTGAAAGCAGAGGGCACAACAGTAGCACAGACCAGCACTTCTACAGTAAGGAAAAAAAAATTTTAATTAAAAATCAACATTCTCTATATTCATCAGAGGTTGGAGAGCCAGTGCAACATCTAACTGTCTTCTCTTTATTTCCACACTAGGAGATACTAGAGAATGTCAAGAAATGCAAGAATTTTCTTGCTACGCTAATAAAACTGGCATGTAGTGGACCTCAAGCCCCTGAGATGGGGCAGAATGTGAAGAATCTGGTTCAAAATCTATTGGTGAGACTTTTTTTAAACAAAGTCTGCATTATTTGTGTATCATTTTTGACATTGAATTCATCATAGTTTTGTTCCTTGTCTTTTTTTCTTTTAACAGCTGAAGAGTTGGATTTGTGGCTGAGTACATCTGACCCTATTACATTTTAACTCTTTTGTTTTTAGCTGGATCCCATGCTGTTGTTTTTCCCCCTCACATTGCTGTTTCATTTTATGCGCAAAGGTAACTGACAGCAGGAGGAGCTGAGAGTGTTAACACAGCTTCTGAGTCTGAGCTGCCTTTTTTTTTTGTATTAGTATAGTTTTGAGTTCTCAATAGCAAGAGTATTACTGTGGAGGTTGTAGTGCATACTACTAAGTCCATACTACTGCTTTTCTCCAAGACAGAACAGACTTATAGGTTGATAGTGAGCTCCAGTGGAACAAGCATGCCATTATCTCTGTCTTTAGCCAATGTGATGGAGAAAATAACGTGGTGGCTGCCAACTCCTCTCTCTCCTTGCAGGTGGCTTCCGTATGCTGCTTCGTGCTGTACCCCAGCACAGCTGGGTTTTCTTGGTAGCGATTTCTCCTGCCACTTCTCGTCTTGGCATTTGACCGCTGCTGCTGTTTTGTTGTTCCACTGTAGCAGAAGGCTGTGGGCTGGTGGAGGGGGTTGGCTTTGCTAGTGGTACCAAAGGACTTCTCAGACTAGAAAAACGTGGTGTAGACAGAGGTGTAATTTCAAAGAACAGATTATTTTAAGATGCAGCCTTGCAAAACTACTCGATTCCTTTTCTTCCTCTGCCTTTGTGTCCCTGCTGGACTGTACACCTTGATTCTGTAGGAAAATACTAGAATTGTTCCTTCATGTGCTTACAATACTTGAATTCTTTTTTTTTTAAGAACAATTTTTACCAGACATCAATGCATCATTTAATTGTGCATTTGTTTGCTTTTGTAATACTTTTAAAATGCTGCTGTTCTGCCATTCAATGTGTGTATATGATTTAAAGGCAAAATAAATTAATGTTTCCTGTGCATGAGGGAAACAAGTAAATGGCAGCTGTGAAGTAAAATGGTCCTTAAGTCAGCATCTTGTCAAGAGGATGTCAAGTGCCTTACATGGATTGAGGTGTAGTGTACCAAATCACTGCATCTGTATTGGTGAGACCTCAGTGACCTATATCCACGGCTCAGTGAGACCTAACAGGCAGCAGATCAAACTACTAAATAGGAGAGATGCTGTAAGTTTTGTTTGTCTGTGAATATACAGTCCTTAAAACCCCTGCTCTGGTCATGTGGCTCCTTGGAACGGTTGTTCTGAAGGAGAATATGGGTGAGAGGAGCAGTTTCTCTGCAGACAGAGATTGATGCTGGCGTCCCCCTTCCTTGTGTGTCTATATACCTTCTTGGAGCAGATAACGTTCTTGGTGACTCTGTGGCAGGGTCTCACCTGAAAGGGTGGGAAAGGGCAGCAGTGTCTGGGGCTACCCACCTCCTTAGCCCTGTCGTGATGGCACTGAAGCAGTGAGTGGGAGGTCTCAGAAGTCTACTGCAGCTTCTCAAGCCCTTGAGTCAGCTGTTTGTGTTGGAGCAGAGCAGAAAGCATTAAGAAGGGAGACTGTGCTCCCCAAGCCAGAGGACTGTTACGTAGTGGTATGCAGAAGGGATGTTCAGTTTCTCCTGCTTTTGAAAGACGATGTTAAGAGTTCTGCTTTCTTAGGCTATGTATGCATTAGACTAGAATTGTTTTACAAAAACTACTGAGTTGTCTTTTGTCTCCGGTCTCTTTAAATTAATCTTTATGCAGATGAACTTACCTTTACAGGAAAAAAGTGCTCATGGTGGATTTTAAGTATTTCTGCATAACAATGAGGTACTTGTTGCTACTCAGTGCTACTTGTAAACTTTTTTCTATCAGTTCACTTCAGTGAACTGTTTGAACAAGTATCCTTAAGTGTTTTCCTTAAACCTGCCTGGAGTTTAAGAAAGTAATTTAATTTGATAGTACTGTATCTAAATTACAAGATCATTTTGTCCTAAACCCTTTTGTTCAAAAATATAATGGGAAAAAAAATTGAGTGTAGACATTGATCAGTTCCATGATAATGTGAATTTCCATGAGTTTTTGATACATCTGAGAAAAAAAATACCGTAGATTCATAGTTATAACTTACCATTGTAATTATACTTTCCTTTTAGGAAGCAAAAATTGAACCAGAAGAATTTACAAAAAAGCTATACATAGAACTCAAGTCATCTCCACAACCATATTTAGTTCCTTTTCTCAAGGTAAGTGCCTGATTGTGAATATGTAGTATTTAATAAAAGGAAGCAGGAGGACCAGAAAAAGAGAGGAAAGAGAGCATTCAGATAGGTGTTTGCTCAGGTCAGTAGAGGGAATGGTGTTTAACCTAGCCCTGTGTGACTGTTGCTCTTGGAAAGACAATTTTTTTGGGGGAAGAAGGATTTCAGAGGAGTAACTTATACTGTGTTCTTAAATTGGAGAGTAATTACCCTCTAGTCATTAGTGGAGACTAATGTTTTGGAAGCTGGTGCATCTACAGTAGAGCAGCTATACTAAGACCACCATTTACTTTCTCAGCAAAACTGTAGCTCTACTAAATTCTAATAGGGAAGACTGATAATGGAGGCTGTGCACAGTTTATGCAGTATTTAAGCTCAAAGAACCTACATAAAGCTGGTATTCATCTGTCTGCTGCTTTGTGTTTAACTGGAGGCAGAAAGACCCCCAGCCCTTTCTCCAGAAAATCTGACAGGACTACTGCAACTTAGAAAGAGTAACCCAGGATAACTCTACCTCCATTCAAGCAAATAATCATGTAAATAAAAAACTTTTAAAATCATATGGTAGAATGGAATTTATTAGCAATCAAAATAAAAGTGAACATCTTTGTTTTATAGCAAGCATTTAATTCCAGTGAAAATACGGAAAACTCAGTTATATTTAATTGCAATGCACATAGTATTCTTAGGCTTGATAGATCTGTACTTTTCCTTGCCATTTACTGTAAGATATAGTTGAGAATCAAGGAAAAATAGTTACGTGCAAAAGCTAGGACAGAAGTTTTCTGGAGTTTGTCTTCCTCTGTATTTGACAGCACGTATAACAACCATATGCTGATGTTGATATTACTTTAGATGGCTGATGTTAATCTGTTAAAGTGTGCGATGAATATTTTTGTTGCAGTGGCAGCCTTTAAATGCTTTGCTAGAAAGTTTGCCGTGAGTCTAGAAGACTACAGTCTTTTCTGCAGGGCTTTAGATAGAATTTTCATATTGATCACTTATTCTCAGTTTAATTTTATGGAGGTTTCTTAAAAGTCCATGCAAAATCTTAAAAAAAAAAAAAACAACAAAAAAAAAAAAACAAAAAACAAACGCTCAGAGTACAGGCCTTCCTGCATCCCGTGTAGCTCTGGCTGCAGAAGGACCAGGTTGTGAACGCAGGGTCTGTGTGACTGGCAGAGGTTTTCTGTGAGCTGTGTGAGGCCTCAGCAAACTGTAACTAACTGCCTGGGCAAGTTTGGCTTCAGAAGTAGCGTAGCTGCCTTCTGCAGGACCATGGCTGGTGAATGCATCTGGACGTGGGCTGGCTGCTTGTGCGTGGGGCCAGCTCTGTGCTGCGTTTCTGAAAAGAGCGGAGGTGAACCTCAGTAGCTCCACACAGACCCCACCCAAGTCTGACGCAGCTAGACCTCATGAGGGCTGGTGAGCCCTGACAGCCCCGGGCTAGTCCACACAGAGGAGCTGAGCCAAGAGGTGGCTGTGCAGGGCTTGCTAATGCTTCTGCTCCTTTGGGTCCCCACGGGTTTGTTAGCTGGGGCACGGTGCTGTCCTCATGCGCTCCTGGAGGTGCTAAGCCATCCCACAATGTGGAAAGCTGCGACATGGTGCACGAACCTCGAGGCAGTACCACAGGAGTTAAGTTGGCTTCGTCAGCATGGGTCAGACCCTGACCCATCACCGTAGAGGCATTGCACGTTTCTCCTGTGGCATGCTGCCAGGTGCTGATATCATCTAGGCTTTTCTGTTTGGGGCAGTATCTGTACCCCATAATCCTTGACAAGGTGCTCTCTTCCTGTTGTACTCTATATTAAACAACGAAATACTATGACTTCAAAAACTTTGACCGTGACAGTGACTAAACAACATTAGCTGACTATGGTATTAACCATCCTTTAAAATATCTTGCACCCTGATTGCCTTTTTTTCTGAAATACCTTAAGGATGTGTATTTGATGCAGACCAGACTTAATTGGTGTGTAAGGCTGAGCAGCTGTGACAGGACTGAGTGCCAAATGGAAGATGACTTGAGGAGCCCTTCTCTAAGGTGCTATGAGGATCAGTGCTGGCCTCGTTTGCGGGGGAAAGGCTTGCAGCTCGAGTCTGGAAAGAAATGTGATACGGCTTATTGCCAATTGACTTTCAGCTAGTGAAGTGGAATTTTAGGGAGGACTCTGTGGAGTTGTCTCTTATCTTTGAGCTGCAGGTTTTTGATGAAGTCTTTGCATGTGTTTTCATTTTGTCTGTTCCAATAGGTGGAAAAATACAGTGACTTTGGCTGTAAAGCCTGCTTGATTTTCAAATCTATACTGGATGTTTTTGGCAAATAAATTGCATCAGGAGCATGAGGAAAGCTCAGCAGCCTTTTAAAAGAAAAGGAAGCGAACATTAAGGATAGGTGTGCCATGGCAGGTCTAGATATGCAAACAATTTGTTCACTCAGTATATTAGCATGGGAGACAACACGTTCCTTTAGCACGAAGCCCGGAGCAACAGCACTGTGCTGGAGACTCTTAACAGACTTGAAAAACTCGTGGGGAAGGTTTGTGAGAATATACAGGTAGCTGCAGAACTGATTTCCCCTGGTTCTGAGCCATAACGGATTGTAAATAGTCAAGGAGAAAAATCTATAGAGGACTTGAAGATTATTCTGTCCATTAACCTTCTCAGACATAGCTGTAGTAAAAATGAGGTGTTGCCAGATACCTTTACTAATGTTCTCTTGTTGCAGAGAACTATCTGGCTTCAGTTGTGCTGCTGCTGCTATACAGACATTATTAAAGTGGTATCCCCCCCTAGTGTAGATACAGCTGTATTGGTATAGAAGTGCTTAGCTCTTCAGAGCTTGTTCTAAGACTTCCTCAGATCATGTGGAGTTCTCTGTCAGACAGGCTCCATGGAATAAACACAGCTGTTAAAATATAGCAGGGGGTTTTGGTAAAACAAATTTTTGAGGTGTTAAAATGGTGTTCTTTTTTAGAACACAAATTTCAAATTGAAGAAATTTAAACAAAAAGAACAAGTTATAGGTGAGTTTACCTATAGATGGGATTTGCTATGTGCAGTGAAGTGGTGATTGTTGACCTTTACTCAGCCTGTGTTGGTGAATCCTGTGGTCTTCTCTGAGCAGTATGGTCATCAATTTAAGCGTGCCTGAATTCTAGCAAAACTTATTTGGAGTAATCCATTTATTGTCTCATGAAAAATTAAATTAGAAGACGAGGAAGAACATTCAGTTGCTAATGTATCAGTATTGTGGAAGACTCTGCTGATATTACGTCCAGTGTTTTTTTCGTTTTTCTTCTAGAAAAGCATGCTTGCCTTACGGCAGCTAATGCCCAATGCTCAGAGCTTCATCCAGCAGTGTATGCAGCAGCCAGCTCCCACCCAAGAAGCTGTTTTGACTTGTACCTCTGCAGCACCAGCTCCTTCGATAGTAGTGGCAACCTCATCAGTGGCAACTTCAACTGTAGCAAAAACTTCTCTTCCAGTTATAAAACCAGTGTCTGCCTCTGTAACAGTCACAGCCTCTCCGGTTATAAAACCAGTCCTTGTCAGTGCGTCGGCAACAGCTTCTCTGCCGACTGTGAAGCCTGTTCCTGCCTCTGCAGTGGTGACAGCATCCGTTCGTCCTGCAGCTTCAGTCCTCACCACAACGATGGCAACATCAGGGCTGACTGCCATCCAAACCGTCAAGCCAGTCTTCACCTCTGCAGTAGCAACGTCCTCTCTCCAGTCTGCCAAGCCACTGCTGGTCTCCACAGCGGCATCTTCAGCAACGACCCCTCTACAGACTCTGAAACCAGTCATTGGAACCCCAGTCAGTATTAAAATCTCACAGCCAAACTCCATCGTTGCGCAGTCAGCAGGTGCTCAGCAGGTGGTTAAAGTGAAACAGTTGGTAAGATGAATTTCTCTACTTCTCTGTAACCAGGTTTCTTTACTTTCGCTCTTATCGTTTTGTGAAGAGGATACCAATGTGAATCTTAGCTCTTTTTTTAACATATGAAGCTAGTTCTGTCATGAGTTAACCAGTCATGGTTGTCACAATTAGGGATATTGAACCTTTGCTGAAAAGGTGACTCTAAAACTGAGCTCTTGCAAGACGTGCTGACCACTGTTCCACCAGACTGAACATCCAGCTTTGAGACAGGAGGGAACACAAGTGCTGACCCCTGCTATGCATGCAGCCAGGCTAGATCTGCATCTGAAAGAAAAAGCAGGAAATGCTAGTGACAGAAACAGAAATTGCTGATGGGATGCTTACCTTAATTACAATTAGATGTCCCATTAGGGCTATGCCTCAGCTAGCCACCCAGGATTCCAGTCTCTCTACCTTTGTAGTTTCTACCCTGGATACTTAGCAGGCACAGGTGGCTTGATGACATTTAGTGATACGTTAACTGAAATGTACAAACTAGCTCAAGGAGCTTTTCTGGGCAGAGTTCTGACCTCTGAATTTAGTAAGACATGTTAATTATGGAGTCATCCAAAAGTGAGCTTTTTCCATCAGGCCTCATTAGCTAACAAATTCCAGGAGGAATAAATGTCTTATTAAAACAATACCCTCAAAATCAATGTGTTAATATATTTTTCTTGGCACAGGTTAACTTCTTGCTAATGTTAATGTTAAATACCAACAAACTGTGGATCACAGGTATACCCAAAAGAGCAACATTGTGAAATATATTAGGCTTGGTTTATGGGTGTTTGAGATACCAAATAGTATGCTATTTGACGGGTCTGCATGCAGATAATGTTCTCAAATATTTTGAAAGAATACTCTCCCTTTGGCAGATAAAGAATGTGATTCTTGAATAGGACTTCTGTGTAAAGATTTCTTCCTTAAAAAGAGGGGAAAACGTTAGACTTCCTATGAAACTAGATTTACTTTCCACAGGTATAGTAGGGCATCTAGTGTGTCAGTTTCCTTTGTAGCTTGGTTATTGTGTATACTTGATTTAACAGTATTCAGACTTCTAAAACATTTTGCATTTTTAATTTTCTGCCTTTCAAAGTGCGTGAGGTGGATGTAATACAAGAATCCTGCGTTCTAAATAAAGAGATTATTCTACCAGCTTTTCGCCTTTCAGACTGGCTTAAAAAGAGCAAAGCACTCAACTATATGGAGGGGATGGGGGGGTCCTTTTTATGAGTGGGTTTGTTTTAAAAACAGTTATCAAGCATATGCACTAACAGTCTTCAATAGTAGTAGCTAAAGCCAAGTTGGAAAAGGATTTGATATCCTTACTGTCTTTAAGGACTAAATTTGAAATTTCAGCCAGAAGGAAATGAGGACTACTTAGGTTGTACAAGGGCTGGAGAGCTGTTTGTTGGCTATGCAGCAAGCCATGTAATCCAGGGGAAAGGTTGACCATCTGTACAAATAGATGAGGAAGCTTAACTCTACACTGGGGAGTCGAAACACTTCTTGAATATGATATTGGTGAACTCAAGAAATGACTTCTGCCTCCTCCAATTCTGCTGTGTGGCAGCCTATTGCAATCGTTCTTCTTTGCTGTGCCTTACAAGCATGGAATTGCATACAAAGCATGTTTTTATGCTCATTTGCATAGATCCCAGGCACGGTGATTAAAAAACTTACTCTTCAAAATACCTATTTAACTTTAGTCTTGTAGTTGAAGGCCTGAGTTGACCACTTTGCAGCTTAGCTGTATCAGGAGCTTGGTGTTTGTTCAGACAACTGATTAGCATGAAGAGCAAGTTAGTAGAAGCAGCCGCATCTTCTAGGGCTTTCCTGGTGCCTTCCCTTGAAAGGACAGAGGGTCTGTTTTCCTCCCACAAGAAAACAAATCTGGACCTCCCCTCCCTAAACAGAAGGGTCCTGCTGCCAGCTGAAAGGAAGCGCATGCCAGCTGTGCAAATCTGTCCACACAATGCTGCCAGCAATTTCTTTCCCTTTCCAGCCCGCAGGGTTGTCTAATGCCATACACTCCCGCTGCATGCCCATTTCTAATTTAGGTCTCTTGTGCTTGGGAATGTAAAGCGAACTTTCATCTGCCAGCTCCAATGCAGTGTTGATGCTGCTTAGGAATTGCAGCACTACAGTATTTTAGAATCAAAATTGTGACAGGAGTGATGCAAAGTGTAACTGTCTTCTTTTGTGGCATGGTTATTGATGCTCTGGGTTTGTATGGTGTGCACTGAGGGACCTGTTCTTCAGGGATGCTGTTGGGATTGATTGTATTCCTGTGCTGCAAGAGGAATAAGCAGCCTCGTTTAAGGGCATTGGCATACATAGAAGTTCCATCTTGGAAAGAAAGCTTGTCTTGCTGTAGTATTGCTTTGTCTCTTGTTTAAAGCACAATAAATGAAAATTTACATTACCAGCCACTGGCTTCCAGTGGTGAGAAAGCTGCTGTGAGACTATGACTTCATGTTAAGTATGAAGAGCAAGAGTTTTATAGTATTGTGCCTTCAAATACCAGTGAGACGTGCTCCCTGGACATTGCTAGCGGTTGAAGCGAGGAGTGAAGTGCCTGTGCTGTTCCAGCCACTTGTTCTTAGTGAGTTGTTGTTAGTGTGAGTTCCCTCAGAGCTGAGCTTTCTTGAGGAGAATCTCCTCTGCTATTTTTCAAGAGGTTGTTTTGTCCTGGATGTATGCTTTTGCATTCAGCTGGTGAGGCCTCCTTCGTGAAGCTATACTCTTTGTAGTGTGTGATGATCCCTTGCCATCTCTTTGCTGAACTCCGAACTTTGCTTTATGCATGCAAAACAGGTTCAAGTAAGGCTAATCAAAGTCTCTGTCAGGCAGCTGTCCCTATGCTGTCAGCTGGATGTTACATTGCATTTTTTTTTACTGAAGAGCGTTGGTGCTTTTTATTCTGATGTCTCTGTCAACCTACTTAACGGGGCACAAAGGAACAATCTCTTTTCTTTATTACTTCTTGCTGCTAACCTGAAGAAAAGAGGCAATAGCTCTTTTTTATGGATATTACCTATTTTTTAATACTCTTTCTGGCATTAGATCCTTGTCGAAAATTCTAGGATTGTTGCCCTGTTCTGTTGCAAGTCCCAAGGACTTCCAGCTTTTGTCAGCCTAGCAGCTAGAATAGCAAGCACAACATCAGCTTTGCTGCCAACACCTCCTTTCTGTTTCTTGTTCATCTAGTCTCCTCGATTACTTGACTTACTTCTCAATGTCTACCTAGGCTATTGATTTAACGTTGGCTATCTTTGTTCTTTTTGTCTGCTGCACCTTCATCTTGAATGCTTTATGTGTTTTCTCCTGTGCTGTTTCAGTGTTTTGCATGCTGAAGGTGAAGCATCATTCTCGCTGGTGGTAGGGAGGGTCCCTAGGTGCATGTCTGTGGGTGCTGGCAGAGCCTACAAGTAGTTTATTCAAGCTGGTCAGTGGTTCAGTAATTATCTGAACATATAAATGATGTTGTTAACGTTATTTTTGACTTCCGGCTTATGAAAACTGGATCTTTCAGAAAGATCAAATTGTATTTTCATAAAAACACGTAGAAGCAAAGTTAGTGTGAGTACCAGTTCGCGAGGCAATGCTGCCTGTGTGAGCCTTGACTCTGTCCTCAGTCCGCCTGTCCCTGTACTCCTGTGGTTCTTGCCTCTGCACAAAAAGTTGGGAGATAGAGATCTTCTGGTTCTTCTCAAGAACTACCTGTTTGCTGTCTGGTTTTCAAACACCACCTTCAGCTTAGTTGTTCTATGTTATTGCTGCTATGACAAACTGTGATGCTATTAGCAGATTAATAGGGGGGTGAGTGGGGTATATCTTGACTATTTGATATGTAAAGTACCTCTTTTTATGAATGTGTGATACTTAATGCTGATGATGTTTACTGATAAATCTGAAGTTAGATGACTGGAGGAGACAGCCTAATTTCTGAAATATTATAAATGTCAATTCTTTATTTGATTAAACTTGTGCAGTGTTGCTATACCAGCACTCTTCAGAAAGCCTAAAGTTAGAATAAAAGATGTAGAGGAGAAAAAGTGGCTTCTTTATCCCGAAAATTCCTTTGTATTAGCTTTTTGCTGCTAAAAAAGTAGAATTCAATCTGAAGATGTTGATAATCTTGTGCTTTGGTAAAAGCACATCTTTCTACTACTTGTAATCAAGAACTTTTCCAAAGAATGTATCAAAAGCTGCAGGCCACATTCTTTTAGCTAGGAGGCTTAAAAATGAGGCTTTCAGTGATGCTGCAACTTTATTACTTTCTTGCATTTTAATAGCTACCCCTGAAGAGTTAAAATTAGTATTTATGGGCTGTGCCTGTAGGTCTGGACAGATCCTGCTGTCTGGTTTTGTTTTTTTTCCAAGAGCCTCTTTAAACAGAACTATCAACCCCCTTCTTTTTTACCTTTCAGCAGTGTACCGATGTTTTTGTGTAGAGGCTCTGCTCGTTATAGGTGTTGCTAGTTGGTGCTTCCTGTTCCTGCCAACCGATAATGTTCAGTGTACTTTTGCTTAACACTTTGAAACTCAGCATCTCGATTTACAACTGATGTTGCAGCTCCAAAAATGCATTAGTAACTTTACAGTGCGTACTCTTAATTCTTGACAGGAAAAGGATTTCATGGAAGACTTGTGACTGTTTTCATGTTCTCTCTTCTTAACTAGGTGCTCGTGATTCCAACCCTTTTGAACTTGTTGGCAGGCAGACTCGATATTCGATTGTTAGTCTGTAAAGCAAGACGTAATGGAGAGGAAAGCCTCTTAGTGTAATGGATTGTGTAGTACTTAGTGAAACTCGTATTATATAGTTATCAATAGAGAGTAGGGGTGAAGTGTTTGTTAAAGCTCTCTGAATGAGCTGGAGCGTAAAGCTCACCACCAGTTGTTAAGATTTCGTTTCTTGTCATGAAGTAAAAAAAAAAACCCTCCACCTTTTTTTTTTCTGAGCATGCTGCTTGCTTTAAACTGAAAGCTAGACATGCATGCATGCCCAACGGCACTTCTGTCTGTCTGAACACATCAATGCTATTTACTTCTCTCTGTTTAGCTCTTCTCACTCTTGATATTGGATATTCCACTTCCAGGTGGTCCAGCAACCATCAGGAGCCATTGTAAAGCAAGTATCCACACTCCAGCAACCCTCAACGCTGACCATACAGACATCTGCTGAGAAAAGGATGCCACTGATGAATACGCTTGTTCAAACTAAGCAGTTTCCTGCAGGTACAGTGGAACCTCTTTAGGGACAGGACTCCTGAGGTGTAGAAATGAGTGCAGGGTGCTAGTAGATTGTAGGAATGAAAGAAGGTGGTTGTCTATCGGGAGCAACCAGCTCTGTGCAGCAAGTTGAACATTTTTACTGTCTGCTTGGAGTTCTGATAAGAAACTCAGTGCCATGTCTACTTCTGGCTGCTGTTAAAAGCGTGTCAATCAAACATTTCTACTTGTTAAACTACTACGAGTAAGCTCCTTGCAGTAAACTTCCTTTAAACCGTGATGCTTTTGGGAATCGCTTTGTGAGACTTTGCTTTTTCCTTCAACATGTCCAAGTTGATGAATAGTGTGAGTGTTTGTCTCAGCCAGTTTTCACTAAAACCTTTCACTCGTCAGCACAGAGAAGGGTGCTTGCTAAGAGCGTGTAGGGTTTTTGGCCGTACAGAACATGCAGAACGTAAGACTCTAGAGTATCTGGTTTTCAAATGGACCTAATTAGTTGTTAATTCAGTCTGTGGTAGCCTTTGCTAGAAGTATGAAACTGACTAAACAGTTGTCTTAGCATTTTGCTTTCTACTATGGCATGTTCTTTTTTTTTATTTTAGGTTCCATTCTGAAACAAATTACTCTGCCAGGAAATAAAATTCTGTCGCTTCAAGCATCCCCTGTTCAGAAAGCAAAAATAAAAGAGAATGGAGCAACATCCTTCAGGTAAAATAGACAATATGAGAAGTTTACTATAAGAAGGAACAAAAGGAACAGACAGCAAGTATAAAGGTGGGAACAGAGCCCAAATAAAAGCAACTTTCTTTAGAACTTGTTTATGATAGGTGGTTTTCATGTTAGAATACTAATTGGCAAGGGAGAACTTAAAAATTTTGACCTCATAGCAGATGTTAGTTATTCTTAATATAAGAAAACTGTCCTGATGAGGCTGGACTTTCATCATGCTATCACAAGAGACTAATTATCAAACAGCGTGCATCAATATGTATCAGTTTTTTACATGTAGAGAAGGCATGTTGGTCTCTATTGTGTGAGTACTGTTAACTAATCTAAAGCAAATACTAATACTTTGTATTAAAAGGTCTCCATAGGATTAAAGCAGATATTGCCTCTGATTTTTACAGACCACCAGATAGCATTGAACTGTTGTTTGGACTGACTGGTAACCTGTCTAAAGCGCTATGCTGTATTACAAAATCTTTTATTAGCTCCTCTTACAAGCTTGTTCCTGTATGTAGAGGTGAAAGTCTTTGACTAAACCTCTAATTATGGCTTCTGGCGTATTCTCTAGGCCTTTAGATTGCAAGAATTTGTAAAGCTTTTAGTTCTGGTAACTGATTAACTTTTCAAAAGCAGAAATTATTTTTGTATCTCTGAAATGTGATGTTGAAACGGAGGTACAGACTGCTGTAGGCCTTATTGGTCTTATGACCTTAATGCAAGCTTGAAGTTACTCTTCCAGGGATAAAAGCAGACATGACAGTTTTGTCTTGTTGACCAGTTGACTTCTCATCTATTGAAAGCTATAGCTTTGTGTGCACTGATACAGAGAGAGCTGTTGTTATTTACAGTAACCTACAGTGTACACTGAACGCTTAGAACATGGGTAGCCAGAAGTTAAAATGAAAAGTTGATGTTAAAGCAATAGCTCTATTCAGCTCCCTCAAGCTCTTATGAAATATACTTCAAAATATAACTTGATATGTAATTTTGTGTATAATTTAAAAAACTCCAACAAAACAAACAAACATAAAAAAGGCTAGAAAGACTTTTTTGTGATCTTCCAATCAGAACGTATCAACTGTCTTACAGGAAAATGTTTGAATTGTTGATGTTTTTCCCTGAATTGTTAAGCTCTTAGTGTAGGAAAAACTCTGTGTCTACAGTGTGATTCAAGATGGATTTCTGTTCCTGCTTTTGGATTATGATTTTCAAAGTAGCATAAATCCATGAGAATTCAGATTTCAAATCTCTGTCTCACCTTAAATATTTCTGGTAAGTCTCTTCTCTGAAGAATTTCTCTCTTTGGCTACATCCCTGGTGCTTCTATTCATCAATATAACCAAACTTTCTGACTTTGAAAACTACCTATGAGAATCTTCATATATATATGAGAACCTGTGCAGCGTGTACTTGAATGTTTGGCTTCCCTAGGTGAAGTATCTGTTCTCCAAGCAGGTCTAGCACCACATAGTGTTAATCTGGCCTGTGCAACAGACATTCCTTGCTCTCTTCTATCCTGACTTCTATTATTCCCAGCCCAGCTGTTCTTTGACCTGTGATCCATCAACTGGCCGATCACTTGTGAGCCAGTGAGAAGCATCATGGCCCCCTTTCAGGTTTTGTGGTGAGATTCATAATAGGCAGAGAGCATGTCTTGTCATTTCTGTGATTGTACGTGTGGCACTTCAAACTGTGGCTTCTCATTGCAGTCAAGGCCGACTGCCATTGTGTGACTAGGTTAGGTCAGGGTTCGACAATGTAACACTCAACTAAGCTGTACTTAATGAGCTGCAGTTTGACCTTGCTCTTTAGTGGGCTGTTTTGATTGCTTGAGATAAGCAGTAGAAAAAATGGTGATACCCATCCCTCAATTAAAAAAAAACCTCTAGAAATGAGATTTCCGCTAAGCATGGGCATTGCTGGCACTTGATTGCCCCATGGCATGTATTGTAAAGGGCAGCTTAAAAGCATCAATATTTTTATAAACCACTCTGCGTAGTTCTGTAAAATACATGCTGGAGCACCCTGGAAAAAATAAGACACATATTTGCATCTTCAAATATTGGGTTTTTTTTGCATCTGTTCTATTACAGAGTTGTTCTCCAAAGCACATACAACTCTGACTTGTGCACTTTGTCTGGAAGGTATCAGCAATTTCAGCTAGCAGACAAACTGGAGTGAGACAGTGGAGTGGAGAACATCTGGGCAGCTGCTCCTCCTGCCCCATGGTGGTGGGGAGCGCTGGTGGGTCTTGCTCCACTGGAATTTTTCTGTCCCATGTAGTTGTCCATGATGGTGCATGGAGGTTTGGGTTAAGCGTGCCTTTTTAGTTTTAGCTTTGACTGTTGTATAAAACAGAGTAAATAAACATGGATTCAGAAGACATGTGCGTTTATCAAACACCAGAGGGTGCCACAGACTCACTTTTCAGCCAATGCAGGCGCATTCATAGGCATGAGGTGCTTCTGTATTGCTTGGGCTTCATTTCCAGTGGAGTGTTCAGCATAAATGTCAAACCTGACTTCATGCAGGGTAGTGCTCAGAACTCTGTGTTCTGTTTCCCCCATTGTCCTGATAAGCTTCAGTCACTTGAGATTTAAAACAGCTGGGCGAGTTTTTCCTGTTGAGTTCTGGCTGTGACATGATCAAATGCAAAAAGCATTAAAGGAGTGGTGTAGAAGAGGGTCTTTATGGAGGGATTGCTGAAAATGAAAGCAAGTCCATACCCAACAGAAACGTCTGCTTGTATACTCTGGAATATTTAAATTTATCACTTTGGTAGAATGACTTTTATAGCTTACTCAAAGTACATGATACCTTACTTAAAATGATTGAGGTTTGTTTGAACAGCAAGGAAAAAAGAATAGTAAAAAGTATAAACTTAACATCACTTCTGAAACTTACATTAATCGTTAGTGAGCACTACTACTAAGGAAACGTAATGATAGTTTCTTTAGATTAAGTAAAATAAGTGCAGCAGTGTTTTCATAGGTGCAAAATAATCTTTTGTCAAGGCTAGTGACTCGGTGGCTTAATGCAAACTTATATTCCTCCAAGTTAGAATTGGTCCTTAAAAACAGTACGGGTAGAGATGTCTATTGCATGTAAGCTCTTGTATGTGTGTACTCACAAGAGACACTGTGTGCATAGAAATATTAAATAGTAACCTAATAAAGACTGGTTTTAGAGAACTGAAACTTGAGTATGTAGAAAGGTAGATAGATAGATAGATAGATAGATAGTATAGAAGTTTCCCTCCTTCTTGCTTGAATGTTTGGAGTGTGTGCCCAGATTAGAAACTAAAATGATTTACTGAAACTGCATGCTATACAATTGTACCTGAGGTGCAAGCATCCTTACTTGGATTCCATAAACAGCTCCATCAGAGTAACGTCAGGTTCCAGCATCTGCAGCTCGGATAGCTTGTGATGTGTGTTCTTGGTGCTAGTTGTGCTGACTTTGTAATCTCCTGTATCAGCAGATCCGTGGCAGTCACTGCACTTCGGTGGGATTCTTGTCTCTGCCACTAGCAAAAACTTCTCTGTAGCGGTCATTAAGAAGAGAAAATTGGAGTGTACTTGTGAAGATCAGTTAGCACTCAATTAGCATGCAGTGAAGCTTCATTTACACACTTCTTGAAAGATCACAGTCTCTGTTAGGCTGATAGAGCATGAGTATACACTTGGAACTGCTCAGTTGTTGGTTGTGAAGGGGTAGGAGGAGGGAAACTGTTCTGCCAGTGGTGACTTCAGCTTTCAGTCATATCTGAGGTCATTTAACTGTTCTGACAATTCTAGGATTTAACGCTTTTCTTAGCATGATGGAGTTGGGGGGAGAAGACTTGCATCATAGAAACCGATTGAAGCCCAAAGGAGAAAATGCATCTATAGTTTAAGAAAAAAAAATCCTGACACTTTCTTGTGTCTTTTGAGTATTACTCAAACCCAATCATGTTCTACTTCATCTTCTACCTATTGACAGTTAGAGGACAGCCTCCAAGATATCCTATTTCACCTGAGAATGGCAAGTTTCTGACTAACCCCTTGTTCAAGTAGGGCACACAGTATTTTCTGAAGATGAACTCTATCAGACTCTGCCAGTGAGTACTTTTCCGGAGGGATGTGTATGTTTTGGTTTTGGTTTTCTTTTGTTTTTCAAATCAAAATACCTTCAGACTGAGTGCTTCCACCTGTCTGTATTAACAATGCCGATTTGTGTTCTGATTCTAAACTCTTGAAGCCACCATTAGGGCCTTTGTCACTTTGTGAAACAAAAAAGGCTTTCTTTTGATCATCTAAACTTCGTTGAAAATAACTTGGCTATTTTCATTGCTAAAGTTTTTCAAAAACTTTTCCTATATAAAATTCATTCTGTATTTTAATTAAAATGATCTTTTTAAAAACAAAAAGCTGAGGCGCACAGGCTATTTGCTTAGCATGAGCTTTGTCATGATTATAGTTAGTCTTAGTTAAGTTAGCCCTAAGTATGCCAGACTTGAGTTTTTATTTTAAACATGTAGACCAAAGCTGCTACAGCAGAATCCAGCTAACGGAGGGCTGGAGCTCCGTTAAGAACTAGAGCTCTGCCACTGTTTTTCAGAAGCATAGCATCCTCCCCACTAGGTACATTAAGTACTGTATGGTAGCACTGATTCAAAGGGCAAGGTCTCTATACTACTGACAAGGAGTGTTTGTATCTTATTTTTTTAAGAGAACTCACTAAAAAAAAAGGTGAAGATCAGGTTTGTGCTAGTATACCTGTGCTGTAAGCTTCAGTTTCTAGGATAGGCATCTCTGAACATGGGCTTGTTTGTAAGTTCCACGAGCCAGTATTCGACTTCATTCACCACTTGGTTCTACCTGGTCAGTTAGAGTTTTAGAACAAATTTCAGGCTGTAAGAGCGGTGGTGCAGGGTGGGAGGCTTATGGGGACCTTCAGTCCAGATTTACCTCAGTCCTTGGTTTCTGAGCTTGCTCAAAATTTCAGTTTCATGTAAAGGATTTGCATTTCTAGCTGCTGAGGTTGTGGCTCTTTGTTGATAGTCAAGAGGCTTTTTCTTTGTATCCATTCTGAACGAAGCATAAACTGTTGGTTTTCTCCTTAGTAGAGATGAAGATGACATAAATGATGTGACTTCTATGGCTGGAGTCAATCTTAATGAGGAGAATGCATGCATTTTGGCAACAAACTCTGAGCTCATTGGTACAGTGATCCGCTCTTGTGCAGATGAACCTTTTCTCTCCTCGGAAGCACTTCAGAAGAAGATCTTGAACATAGGTGAGAATAAAGCATATGTAACAGATATGTATGAATGTAGTATTTCCTTGCCCATTTCATCAGCCAGCCTCCAGTCTTTGAAGAAGGAGCTGGAACTTAAGATCTGCCATCTCAATTCATGTGTTTCTACCAAACCATACTGAGTTTTCACTTCCCCTGCTATGAAACAACTGTTCTCTAAGTTTTTTATGTGGAAATAGTCTGAAGCATGACCAGAAAAAAGAAATTGGTGCCACTTTTACTTGTGAAAACTGAGCAACTTTATTGCTCTTGATGGAACACACAACAACCATGTAGATGCTAGTGTCAAATCAAACACTTAAGTATGATTTTCTATTTCTGCAGCTCCTAACTTGATGTGTTACGCTGACTTTCCTAACAGCTTTTGTATTCCTTAGCCTGTTCAGATATGTACTCTTGACCAACATCACAGATCCTGCCCATGTGATTAGGAAGAATTTTCAAACTGCCAATATGCACAGGGCAGACTTCTGTTTATGACTCTCTCTATGGAAAAATCTTTAATTATGCGCAAAAAAAAAAGTTAAAGCTGTTTGTATCAGTGAATAATACTGTGGAATGTATGTTGAATGGCTGAGACTAAACTGTAATAGAAAGTTTTTAGTGTATGTATCATGCCAGCTGTTAGTTTCTGAGCAAAATTATAACTGTTGCTTAGCAATGTTGTTTGTGTCAGAGCAGGGAGCATTTGTACAGCACCACATTCACTGGTACCACTGCTGACTACAGCAAACCAGATGAATGTTGCTCAACACCTTGCCCCTGCTGTCTGCCTGGTAGCTGGTCATACTGGAACAGTGAGTTTTACAGTTGAGCATTCAGGAAAGCCTGCAGTTCCTACATGCAGTCATAATTCTGACACAGCGGTTTAACTACGTGATCTCAAAGTCTTTCTACACGCAACTTGTTCTTAGTCCAGACTAAGCAGCTAGCCGGTGAGGAGCATGTAACCTGCAAACACTATCTGCTACCTCAATGCATCCCACCCTAGTTAGCCAGGTGTGCCATCTGAGCTGTGTGGGGCATAGTTGAGTGAAGTAAGTGCTAAAGGAAAGTGGAAAAGAGAAAATACACTTTGAAACTGGTGTCTAGAAGCTTTTCTCAAAATTCAGTAGAGGGTTAACCAGTCATCCATGGGGAGTAGATACCAGGAAAAATAGAGCTCTCCAAAAACATAAAGAGAAAGCACTTCTAGAATAAATGTCTGGTTTGGAATATGAAGACAATTCATTTAAAGATGGAAAATATAAGCCTGGTTGTTTGATGGCTGGCGTGGTAGCTGTTCCATGTTAATAGTAATAATAATTCATGTCTTAAATGAAAAGTGTTTTAATTGCAAGGAGAAGAGTACTGTTGGGGAGTACAGCAATTCAGAAAATGAACTCCTCTACTCTTGAACCAAGCCCTCTTTGCTTTAGGAAGTGTGCATGTGTGGAGGGAGGTCTTGAGGTTTGGGGGGATTTTGCTTTATCTTTAAGTCCATGTTACAGTATTCTGATAGTATAGTGGGAAACTGCTGAGGAAGCATTGAAAGGTGCTTGAGCAAAACAAGCTTTGCACTCAGCTAAGGTACAGGCCAGTGCTTACTGGCCAAGATCAAACAGTGGGAACGCTTTGATCGTATCTCAGAAGGCATTGTAGATTCTCCCTGTCTTGGTGAGATTGTTATTCGTTTTCAGTTAGAGTAGCAAAGGCAAATGAAATAGGTGATTAGTTTTTTTACAGTGTACTGTTTATCCATTCTTAACACTCCACTCAGTCATAAATATCAGAATGGGTTTCGAAGGTGTACTGTATATTGCATCATAAAGTATTATAGCGCCGTAAATGCAGCGAGGGTCAAGGAAAAGGCACTTCTGACGGGTACAATGTACGAAGTGTGTGAAACTGCTGCCTGCCGTGCCTACCAGGGAAAAGCTGCTGCCAGCCAGGTGTCTTGATGGAGTTGCGTTGAGTGATCGATGGTGTCAACCACGGGAAGGCTTCTCTGTCGACAGTCTGCAGCCGCAGGGAGGTTGTGGAGGTGATGCCCAGCTCTGGGCACGGAGCTGGGACAGCTTTGCCTGGAGCTGTTGCCAGCCTCAGTCGCAGCTGCTGAAACACAGAGGCAGTGGTAGCCTGAGAGAAAAGGTTGAAGGTGACGGCATGATGACCCTGGCTGGACTTGATCCGTGTTGTCCGAGCTGCTGCCGTGGGATGGTTGGGTCTGTCTGCCCTGTGCCGGTCGGTGGAGGCAGGTGAGGGGGTCCCAGAGTGCCTGGAGTGCGCTGTGGAAACCATCCCCGCTCATTGAATAAATGTCATGAGTTGTTAACAAGCACGGTGTCAAGCAGGGCAAAATGTAATTCTCCATTTTTTTTTAATTACTGGAATTAACAGAATATGGCACTAATTTCTACAGCTACTGCTTCTCCCCCTCCCCGAACATGAAGCTTGATTTGTGTTCTTATTAACTTTGTCCTATAAATGACCTTGCAAGGAGAGTGGTTCTGGAGGCTAAGTGAAACAATGTCTATATTTTCTGAAGCTCCAGGCTAAGTTTTATTAATGTAATGTCTAAGATCTTTGAAGTTGTGACTTTACCAGGAAAATCATAATCTCCAAACCTTTATTCATAATGGGTATGACTTCCAGGGGGAACAGAATACCTGCTGTGCTAATTATTTCAATTATCAGCTACTACTAAAACACGTAATGGATTTTCTCTGCTTCCACAGGTAAAAGGCATGACATTATGGAACTTAACTCTGATGTTGTGAACTTGATCTCCCATGCTACACAGGAGAGATTACGAGGGCTCCTAGAAAAACTAACTGTAATTGCTCAGCACAGAGTATCAACCCACAAGGTAAAGGAAATCATTAAGCAAGTTTTGCACCAAAGTTTTCCTGCTTTGCAGCCTTGAAGGTAAACCTCTTCCAAGCATAGGCACATCATATGCAATATGTGCGTTTTCAGTATCTACCAAAGGCTGGTTTTGTTTTAACTGTTCATAGCCTCTAACTGTTCCTTACATTTTCCATTCGGCTTGTTGGATAGGTGCTCTTAAAACCCAGCATAAGAGTGAATGCATGCATTTCTTCTCTTCCATAGAAGTGGTGGCTGTTTTACAAAATCTGTCTTACGTGGCAAATGTAAAGCTATTTTTGAATGCTCTTGGTGGTCGAGTTGATTTGTGTTTGCTTTATGCGTTTACTGTTGGTAGAACTGCAGTATTAGCTCAGTAAAAAGCCTTGGGAAACTGAATTGAGTATTTTATTTTTAGAAAGTGCTTCATGTGAAGGCAGAGACCCCTTTGATCTTCAAGTTTCTGGAACTTTTTTTCCACCAGTGCTACTTAAGATTCCCTCTCCTCCTTCTTGTATTAGCTCTATTGAATATAAAGTATATTGGGTTCTAGTAAGCCAGTATCCCTTAAGATGCTTGTATGGTACAAATGGGAAGCAATAACTTATTAGTGGCCACAATAGCTCTTTGAGACTTTTTTTTTGGTCATTAATAATAAGATATTAGTCCTTACTTTTTTCAGCATCAAGCTGTTTTAGAGAAAAAATTGCAAGTTAGAAGCAGATGTATCTGTCAACTCTTAAGTTCTTGTTTGTTTAGTTTTTTTTTTACAGGAACTTTATACTTAATGAAATTTAACAAGAGCAACTAACTGATGGGATAGGAGTCATTTTTGTACTGAACACTTTTTATAGGCTTTTAAGCTCTGGAGAAGCAATAGTAAAGAGCAGGAACTATTTGGAAACTTTCAAGTATTTATAGTGATGTCTGGAGGAGTTGGAGTATGCTGTTCCTTGCCAGAAGAAGATGCAACAGAAAAATAAAAAATCAATGCAGAAAAAATATAGCATTTTTTATGAGAAGTCTTTAGAAATCTGCACATATTCTTTGTTGTCTGTCCAAAGTGGGAGATCCAATAGAGCTTGTGAGCGAAAGTGAAGTGGAAGCTGAAGTCCTGAGTAACCAGTAGGACTTAGTGTCTTGCAGATACCAAGGCCACAAGGGAATGTTTTTGGACAGTGGGCTTGATGGGGCTGATTTCTTTCTCGTTGAATTAAAGCAATAGAAAAACTGATAGGTTTTTATCTAATTGAATTGCCAGAAGCAATAAGATTGTAAGACTGCAATAAGCTTGCTTTCTTTTCTGCTTTTCTGAAAAACAAAACAAGCAAACAAAAGGGTAATGGGCATAATAATCCTAGAGGCTCAGGTACTCTCTCTCATTAGGAAGATGGTATTACATAACAGAGGAGTATCCTACAAGACTGTGTTTGTGAGTAATATTATTGAGAGGTGCTGACAGGCTTTTAGAAGTCTAAGCTCAAGAACTGAACACTACAAGGTTTTGGAGTCCTGTTAGTTATTTGTATATGTATTTACACAGCCCTGTATTCCATCTCCCCCAGTGCTTGCCCCTGTCCTCTTTTCCCTCTAGGCTATTGATAGGTAGCAGCATGCAATGTGGGCTCCATGTATTCAGAGAATTATCCAGAGCCTTTCCAAGAGAATTGGGTAGTTGCCCTGTAAGGCTTTGTATTGGCCTATCTTCATTACAAAAAGATGGACGGTAATAGGGATAGGTGTGGTGAAACCAAGGTAACTATTGTTAGGGTAGAAGTTGGTGTAAAAAGCCAGTAACTCATGGAATCATACTCAGGAAACTCTTCTTCCCAGTTTGCTCAACTCATGCCTAGCAGTTTATATCTGATGGGTTGCCCTGCAGAGAGAGTTGGCAGGGTAAGAGCTTCATACCATGCCACCATGTAGACTTGCTGACTTTTGCCTTTTTTTTGCTAAATTCAAGGGGAAAAAAAAATATATATATCATCGGAAGTTTCTAATTTAATTAGGATAAAACTATCATGGTGGTCTCTTTATCTGAAAGTAGGAATAGCCTTTCATATTGTTGTAAGCTGCTTTCTGTGCTGTGACTTGTTGCACTGGCTTTATAGAGTCTTGGTAAGACCATAAAGGCAATTGGCTAGCTGATTTGGCTCCTCAGCTGCTTCCCTCATACCATCTGGAGAACTGCTAAGATATAAGAGTGTGCATGTGACATAATGTGATACCCAAGACCAGAATTAATAAGGATAACTAAACAGTACATCGATTAAAAAACATTTTTGATGAAGGTGGTTTCAGCACATCATGAGATGACTGCTGTGCTCCTGTGTTTGGAGCCCGTGAGCATATGGCTGAGAGGCATGGTATGGTGCTGTGCTATAAACATTGCTCCATGAAAACATCTTCCTCATGTGCAGTAGCAGTAAAACATTGTTTTAATGTTTAAGGGGTGAGCTCTAAGTGTAGTGAAGGACTGAGAACTCCTAGATGTGAAAACAGCCAACCTCCTCCTACCCACCTGTGCCCCCATCAAGCTGCAGAGTGCAGAAGTAACTTATCAGAAGCTTTTCAGTTATTAAGTTGGTTTAGGAGTTGACTATATAAAAGCTAAAGCTTAATAGGTTCCCACATAGTAGCTGAGGCTCTGTAACTGCCAGTGTTCCTGCTGTGTCCTCAGCAAAGCTGTTCAACGTGACTTAAATTGTTTAGATTTCATGGGAGCACTGGTCTTTGTGGGATTCTCCTAAGATCTTTCCTGGTGGACTGAAGCAGAGTGAACCTTCCCTGTATGTGGGCTTTTATTTTGTGCCCCTGGACACGCAATACATTCCCGGTGCTAAAGTGCAAGCGGCTTAGTCAGGTTGTCACATACCTGCAAATGAATCTGAAACCTAAGGAGGAAGTTGCAGATCGCAGACAAGGCGTATAGCTGTTCTTGAACTTGTTGCCAGCTTGCTTCTCACTAAAGACATACCTGGGAATGCTTTGCTTCAATGCTGCATGTTTCAAATACGCGTAAACCTAATGAAAAAATTTTGGTAGGAATTGACTGTGCTTTAGAGTGCATCTGTGGAGAAGCCTTGAAGAAAAAGAAAAAAGTGTGGAGGAGTGAATTTCATAACAAGATGCCCTAATGTCGCATCTGTGGAGAAGTCTTGAAGAAAAAGAAAAAAGTGTGGAGTGAATTTCATAACAAGATGCCCTAATGTGCCATTGTTCTGTGAAAGTAATAGCTTCTTTCAGGATAGCGAAGTGAACTATGGGTTAGGTTTAGCTCGGTTAAAGTAAAAACAACTTTTTAACTGTCAACTATACAGCACCTACAAATCTAACGACACCCTGTATTGTGGTTACATGCTTTATTTATCACTAAGCTAAATTCTCTTCTCGGTTACACTTGTAACTTGAGTTTTGTTGGAATTGCACTGTTGTAGCTGGGGACAGTTTGGCCTTGTGTGAGGAAGTTAAACTCTTATATGGACAAAAACTGAACCAACTTGCTTCATCATAGCAGTAACAGCTACACCTTATGAACGGTATACAATATAATGTTTTCTGTCCAAACGATTCAGTACTAAATGATCACAGAGAAAAAGTTTATCGAGTAGGACAAAATATAACTGCAGGTGTTCCTGTTCTAAAAAGACCTGAAATAATGTATCTCAGAACAGTCGTTGCTGAGCTGGAATACTGTTATGAGTGCACCTGTTTCTTGTCCCATATAAGCTCATGGTAGTGCATTGGGGTGCTTCTGGTTGAGTGGCTTACATTCCTAATTGGCATAGGGTCTTGGATTTGGCTTTAAAAACATAAGCATCTAACTCCAACTTTGGGCATTCCAAAGCAAAACACTTCTAAACTTTGGCAAAAATAATTTTCTGGTAATACAGCTTTCTTCTTTGTCTCTTTAAAAGGATTTTGCGGCATGGTGGTGTGTTATTATAAACTGCTGCTTCAAATCAAATTGTACTACTGTACTGAGACTGACTCAAAGTAGCGTATGTTTTGTGGGGAGCAGTAAAAAAAAATCTCAAGTAGTAACAGAAGTCAGGTGATGGGGGAGGTTTGTTGGACTTTTTTGCAGAGCCACAGACTCTGATTGGGAAAGAAAGCCTCCTTGGTTGCAACACATGGTGTAGTTTGAGCCACATTGCTGATACATGACAGCGTGGTGGCTCATGGAAAAGGACCCAACTTAATACCAGAAGAGGGATTGATTTCATGCTCTGACTGGGTTGTGAGTATTCAAATTGGAAAACAGCGGTGCCCCATAAGAAGGCTTTCACTTTCCTCCCAGCTTTTAGAATTATATGACTGGGTGTGAGAAGAAGAGTCTGAGTATCATGTGTTTGAAAACTAAAAACTTAGCAACTGAAGTCACTGATAGTCCATATACTTAAAATATACCCTTGCCTAAAATACAGCTGTAAAATATGCTGTGCTTATTCCAGAACAGTTGTGTGTCAAGGTTGCTTCGTTAAAGTGTGAGACTGGGGTAGGGTAGAAAGAAAGGTTGCTGAAAGTATATGGTATGTTTAGCTGGTAAAAGCCCGAGGATAAATTTCTCAGGAAAAGCCAAGTTCACAAAGTAACAGAGAAAGAAGATGATTCTAGGACATGCATTAGAGTGGTACAAACAGGTGGCACAGATGTGCCCCGTCTAGAATGGGCTCCCTGCCTTTTTTTGCCTAATGCCCTCTGGCCAATGCATGGCTTAAATAACCTGTCTTTGGAAGAATAGAACAATAAAAATAAGCTTTTTGTTGCTGGTTGACCATGCTTTAGATCTTTCCTTTCTCTGTCTTGTTTCCTATCTAAAGTAAAACTAAACTCAGACTTTCCAGTGAGGGCAAAAATAGCATGAAAAACAAACTACTGATTGTTATTTTCTAGACCGACAGGACCATAGTCTTGTTTCAATGCATGCATGTCCAGTGGAACTATTCATTAGTATTCACTGGCCCAGCTTTGCATAAGGGGCTGGACCAGATGACCCACAGGTCACCTTTCAACATAAACTGCTCTGTGACTTGAGAGCATACACTGAGGCAAAAATATATATTCCTAAAGCTATAATAAACCATATATAATTTTCGTCACTTTCTCCACCCCCAAGATTCATTATAACTAGTTCAAAACTACCCTTCTGCCTCATAAAACCTCTTTTTGGAAATACCAAATGAGGCTTATTTCAAATTCTGGATTAAATGGCTGAAGCTAAAACACCAAACACTAGAAACTCAGATGTCAAATTTTTTTTTTCACCCTTTCTCTTTAAAAGGAAAAGTATATGATGTTCTGTTGCTTTTACAATTCTTTCTCCTCACAGCTTAACCTGTCCAGAAGACAGTCTTGTACATGTGTTTAGACTTTAGATTTAGACTTTACTGTTGTTATAGTCAATATAGACTAAATGTTGTTAATGTCACTTATTCAATAACCTCTTACTAGTAACAGATGCCAGGAAACATGCTTCAGTGGAAAGGAGATGTGTAAATGACTACCTACCACCTGAAGTCTAAGGCAGCCTACAGTTATCAGCTTTGAAAAATATAGTGGTGTTCTTTTCAGGCTGTTCCCATTTGGTTTATTAGCTCTACAGTGGTGTATATAAAAGTCTCCTTGTCTCTAACAAACTTCTCTTTCCAGGGGAGTGATAGTTACATCGTATCTAGTGACACCAGAGCACAGCTGAGATTTCTTGAAAAGCTTGATCACCTAGAAAAACAGAGAAAAGATGAAGAGGAACGTGAAATGTTGCTTCGAGCAGCTAAGGTAAGAACTTCACTTCTTGCTTTCCAAGGAAGTAGTGGTGTCCTTTAGACTGGTGAACATCTTCAGGTTTCTCCTATTTCTGCTTTAAATGTAGTAACCATTAACCGTGTAATTGGAAATCTGTAATGTTTAGGATAGCTTAGGCTATACAGAAGAGGATTTTAGCTTTTTACATTATGTAAAAAAATCACAGGAGCTCTTTCAAATATGTGGTGGGTTGAACTCTTCTTTTGAGGTTATTCCTACTAGTCAAAATGAAATAAGAGAAGTATTCACATAGCCATAAACATCCTTCCTGGCTCTATTTCTGGCTCTGAAATCGATATATCTTTCTCCATGTCTGTGTATGGCACCGTTCAAAAATATGGGTTCACTATGTTTGTTCAAGCTGGAGCCTGGTGAGATCCACTGCCCTGCCAGATGTATTTGTTTTGGGTAGTGAGATCAAAAGGCTAACCTTGGAGCTGGTACCCTAGCATCTGCGAAGCCCTGATGGAGCCACCGCTAGTACAGAATAAGTACCTTTCTTCCCCCTTTCCGCCCCTCAAGGACAGGAGCGAAAAAAAATAAAAGTATTAAATCGGTAGTTATTGCTCCTTGAGATGTGACTTGATCATCTTCTATTTGTTGTTTTTTCTGGTTTTGTTTCAAGCTGAATTCTGGAGCCCCTTGAGTGGAAGCCTAATCTAGACTTGCAGGAATCGTGTTGTACTTGCACGAGTACGACTCCCTTTCTTTCCTATACTTCATGTCCTTTTTAAGTGTCTGCTGCTGACATGAACAACATCATGCCTAGACTGGACCTGACTGACAGTGTTAGCATCATTTTCAGCTTAATCTTGCTCCAGGCTAGAGCAGAGGCAGCCGGCCCAGATGAGGAGGGGGGTACGCGTGTGTGCGTGGAGGGGGAGGGAAGCCAGTCTGGATTGAGGCGTTCACCCCTGGAGCTAAATCTTTCAATCACCAAAGAAAATTGTCAGTTATTAAATATTTTAACGGATATGATGGTGTTTGGATGCCAGTAATTTCTGTTCAATCTTTTTCCTCTTCCTTTGATAGAGCCGTTCCAATAAAGAAGATCCAGAGCAACTGCGGTTAAAGCAGAAAGCGAAAGAGGTAGGACTTCCCAGTTACCATGCTTGTCTTTGTGTGGTGAGAGAAGGTTGGCAGCCCTGTCCTGGCAATTAGGTCAGGGTTTATTTTGCTGCTGCATACCATTTGCAGAGGCCTTGGGGAAGGACAGGAACTGCCACAGGCAAGGGCAGTGCTTCAAATGAGGTCAATGAGTTATGAGCTCTCTTTTTTAACATTTTATTTTTGTAGTTTCAGTCCTGTCTAGAAACGGTCCTTTGTAAACTGCAGCGGTACACTTGGTAGGAATATAATGTGGGATTAGGGGGAAAAAAAAAAAAAAAGAAACTTTGAGATTTAGCATCTGGGACTGTACAATAGGCTACATTTTTCCAGGGTAATTGTTCGTTTTGTAAATCTGATACTGCTTATAATTCTTTGGCTGGGAGGCGGTACTGGGATTTAGTTTTAAATGGAAAACGCCTCTGGCTTTTAATTTTCTGGGCCCAGCAGTTTTCTGTTCTGGAATGGAGCCCTTGTTTCACACAGTTCATGTTTAGCTGCAGGGGTTTTAGTTTATAGCTTAGACTGGTTAAGCTTTTACTCCCAGAGGCCTCTGCATAGCAACTGTAGAAATCAACAAATAAGTTCATTTATGTCTGCAGCCTCCTCTCAGTAGCTGACTTTTTACATTTCCCAATATCCATTTCCTGACTTTTCTAGCCTGAGAGAAAAAAGCTCCACTAATTGGATCTTATTTTAATTGAGCCTTAATATTGGATCTCACTGGAGTTGCCCCCAGAGCTACTGGGAACAGAATGAAATGAAAGTACCTAAGGTTGAAGATGTGTGTGCATGTGTATGTGTGTGTGAAATTTTTCACTTGACCTACAGATTCTTTTCCCTGCTGAATAAATCATCAAGCCTGTTCACATTTCTGATTAAGGATCTGACAGCAGACGATAATAAAGACAATTGAGGTGTGAGACGTGTGATACAGAGCTGAAGAAATTGGTTTCTATAGTTACTTGACTGATTTCATGCAATTTTTAAGGATCTTTGTGCTAAATGAGAGTGATTTTCTGAGCAACCTTTTTCCTTAACTGTGCCTCTTGAACTATGAAATTTGTTGTTGCTTAACATTGCTGCACTTGGCTCCTAGGTGCCAGCAGCAGCAGCAGGTTATTTATGAATGCTTTAAAGGCCCTTATTGTTTGGATTAATGTAGGAGCCCAGGCAAAACAAATGGAAATCCAGTAAAATAGTATTAGAATCAATGCTCTGAATTTGTACCATAGTGGAAGAAATTTGTAAAATAAGAGGAGAGAGAAAGAACTTGCTTTACTATCTATCTTTTAATTCTTTCTTTCTGCTTGCAACTCTTTCTTCATGCTTACAATCTGTGAGTACAAAGTTGCCCTAAAGCTCTTCCCAGTTTGCCTCTAGTGCCACCAGGATCAACAATCAGTGGGTGATGCTAATTTGTCTTGTTTTGTAGATGGCTTTACCTCTGCATCATTTGGTTGTTTCTAGAGGTTCTTTCTTTTTATAAAACACTGCAAAGTGATTCATTTATGCAGCTTCTTTTCTCTTTTCCTCTGAACAATAGTGTGTAGGATCTTCAAGTATTCCGTGATTCGGATATTTAGAACAGAAAGAAGGTAGATATGTCTTTTGAGTCATTTTTTTAGATTGGTTCATATCGTTAATGAGATTTCTTTTTAAAAGTGGCATATAAGTGTACAGAAGAGGAGCCAGCAGAGTGGAGATGTCTAAGTTTAGTGCTTAGTGTTCTACTAAGTGTTTGAGTTCACCTCCTTCAGTGCATCTTGTCTTGTGCCAGACCAACACAGCCTTCATCTCACTTGTCCTGCGTATTTCTCTGTGCTGTGCTGCTCCCAGAGTGACAGTCTCCAAGTGCTTCACTAAAAGAGGAGGAGGCAGATGTGCCTCTTGGGACAACGCAGATTTTTGTATTGGTATTGCCTTGCCTTCCCCTCTGTCCTGCTGCTTTGCCCTCTGGAGAACAAGGCAGCCAGAACTTCTCCAGGCTTCACGTGCTGCATGGGAAACCTATGTTCTGGGACAGGGGTGTTTTCTTATCTGTGAGACCATCTCAAGCTTGACTAGAAGTGAGCCCAAATGCAGCTGGTCAATTTTTGCACTTTACTGATAGTTCGGAGATAAATGGTCGGCACACATTTGCATTAAAAAATGCAGACATGAGTAGAGCTGCAATAAGAACAAAATAAAAATCAACAAATAACCAAAAGCTGAAACTGGTGAGGCAGAAGCACAGTGCATACTGGGCTGAAAGCCTGAAAAGACTTGCCATTGTCTGTCTGTCTTGTCGTGTTGTGAATGTAGCCAGCTCCTAAGAAACCACACTTGGGAATTTTGATGCCTCTGTCAGCTGGAATCAGATGATTTCCGGGCCACTCTGGTTGAGTATCCGCTGGAAAGCCTGATCTGATCCACTTAAAGTTCTTTAAGAATTAATATGGGCCTTCCTTTCTCAAAGCTGTCTCTTATGTGTTGATGATGACCCCCGGGAGAAGGGAGAGGGTTTGGGGTAATGGCACTGGAGCACGTTCTAAAGCAATATTTCCCAAAATGCAGAGTGTACATCCTAACAATGAATACTTATAAATCCAGGATACGCTGTCATCCAGCAGCTGGAGGCAACATCTTAACATTGCTGGAAGTACATCCAGAGACTTGGCAGTGGATTCTTTTATCCAAAAGGCTATACATAATTGCTGTGACCTTTTCATCCCTTTTTGCATGACCCATTGCCTCAAACTTCTCCTATGCTAAGTCATTTACTTTCCTATATTCTTAGTTTATGTAGCTTGCAATGAATTAAGTCTTCATTTACTTCCCCCTTTCACCTGTTCCAGCAGATTTTAATACTTACAGAAAGTGCGCATTCCTTCTGAGACAGCTGCAAGGCTTGCCCCAAGCTGCTCCTTTGTCCACTCAAGAATTTTGTCCTTGCTCACCTCACGGGCCAGCTCTTTGTGCAACAGCATTCCCGAAGTCTGGGTAAAGTACCCCTGCTTTTCATTCAGCCTGATCTGCCACTTCAAGCTGAGAGGATACTGTCCTTGCGTTGTCCCTGATGCTTGCAGTTTTAAACCATAACTTTCTTTAGGTTCTTTCTGCTGTTTCCTGTTCTACTTTCAACTATGCTTCCAATTACAAAGATGTTCAGTTGATAAAATTCTTGTAGCTCTGTTTATAGTTTATATCTAACTTCACCCCTTTTCTGGAATGAGCTTGCTTAAGTTGAGTAGGTGTAGGATACTGTCAAATGCACAAGCACACCATATGAACAGTGCATCCCACAAGACCTGTAAAAATGTCAGTATTAAACAGTGTGTACTGTAAATTTAAATATAAACCTTGATCTTTTGTACTTCGGTTTCTCATCTTCAAAAGTGAGCGTGCTTGTAGTGTGGCTTCAGAAAGCTTAAGGCTGAGGCTGGGCAAACCTTTCAGACTGTAGTGTGCAAGATTGCTGCTTGGGGTTGAGCAGGTGAACAGGTACCGTACTGATAGCATCTTTGCTTATTCCATAGTAACTACCTTCATCTCTGCGCTTACCTTGTGGCACCTTGCAGCATCTACTGGTGAATAAAGGTGAGCAGCCCCATCTTGAACTAGGGGAAGAAGCATGTGGAGCAAGCACCTGATGGACAGCAGACTTGCCTGCCTCATTATTTGCCCTTCCAGCAGCTCTGCTCACTTACGGCTGCACAGGTCTTCCCAGTCTGCTGTTCCTGCCTGCTTGATGCACTTGTGCCTTTTGCTGTTACAGTTTTGACACAGATGTCACAAGATGGCAGCAGATGAGATGCAGAGAAAATTCAATACCTTTATTACTCCCACTGACTGGGAGGAAAATAGCAAACCCTAGTTTTTTTGTAGAGACAGAAAAAAAACCATCAAAAACATCGGGGAAAAAGTCTACATGATTCCAGAGAGTTCCTGGGTTCTATGTAGTAATGGCTGAAATTTAGTTGTTCTGCAATACCTTTTTTCAAAAAATCATCTTTTTTCCCTATTTCATGTGTCCATCCTAACCTTCTCTTATTTCCTCTCGTGTTCTCAGATAATAAGTAACTGTGACCTGATCGTCTGCTGCTTTTCCTATTACCTCCAACTCACATTTTCGAGCTGTTGGTTTCCTTTTTTCCTCCTACACCTTTTGTGCTGCTTCTGTGTTTAGTCTTCTGGACCTAATGGTCCAAATTCTTTAAGACCACTCTTGTGATAAGGGAAAAGGAAACTCCCTAGTTAACCATAACCTCTCAAAAACTCAAACGTGATACTGCAGGCAAAATAAGGTCTCCTTGCAATGAATTAGCTTTTTGTGAGCGTTCAGTGACATCTTGAGAGCTTCTGCTTAATTATCTGGTTTATATTATCTTTATTGTTCTGTAATGTTTCTTACCTGCTTCTGCATGTTTGAAAAAAAAAAGCATGATTATTGAGCAGACATAAATTTTGTTACCTGCAGTGTAGCCCTGCAAAATAGCCAAGGGCTGTCATCGGAGATTTGGTGCGTTAAGAGTCTTGCAGAAAGTCAGGGATGGAAATCCTGTAAAGTATTAAAATGATTGAGCAAACTGAAAAGTGAACCAAATCCCAGTTTATGTAGCATTCATCTTGGTGTTTTGAAGGAGCATAAGACAAGAGCAGCTGACACACTGCATCAGATACCCTAAAACCAGCTGACTCTGAGATGATAGCAACTATCTTTAGTGAAAAACAAAAGCCGAACCACAACTCCATTAAGCTTGTTCTTGGATTTTCAAATGCCTTTTCTAAGTTTCTCTGAAAGACTATAATGGACATGTAACCTTGGATTAGAAGCTTGCTAACAGAGGAAATTTTAGGACTAAAATGCAACAAAAAGATGATAATGGAGAGCCAGAGTTCTGTTCCAAGAACGAGTGTTGGGTGGACTGCACGATGAGATGGAGAAGCCTGCAGGTGGGAGATAAGTCTTGAACATTCGCTAGCTTTGAGACCTCAAGAGT